TAAACATAAATATATCTTGCTCCAAAGAGGATTTCATATAAAAACTTATAATCTGCCAAAGAGTTCAGGAGAGCTCTTCCTAAGTAGTTTGGGTTGATTAGCCTCAGGGGAAAACCAATGAAGAGTGTATATGTGAGAAATAAAAGAAGGCATGGAACAGAACGGTTACTGATGGGTGTGCATGAAGAGTTGAAATGTTGGCTTTCCACAGAAGGAAAGCCAATTAGTCTAATGCTTCTGTTTATTCATTATCGTGAAGCCTTGGATTATTGCTGTATTTTAAATTTTCCTAGATTAAAAACTGCCACCACTGTTTTCTTTCTCTCTGTCTCTCTCTTAGCTTCTGTTAACGTTCAAGTCTTAGGATATTAGATGAAAACAGTAGTGATGAGAACTTCTCTTTTCCTCTTCTTTGCAAATACTATTAGGCATTGCAGTTAATGTCCCAGTTCAAATCAATTACATTCCTTTTCAGTCATGACTCAGAATGTTTCTAATTTCTAATGCCTGGAGATATATATTCATATATGATTTCCAGATGTCTCAAAATACAATTCCTGTATTTTTTGTACCATATATTCTTAATATTTCACATGTAACATTCCAAATACATGGAAGATTAATTCTAGTATCTGTATAAGTTCTTATCTTGTTTTTTTTTACATTATTGGAAGTTTTGTTTTATCTTTAAAGTACTGAAAGCTAGTATTTCCTTCGAACAGAGTGATCATTTAGGAACCGTATCTAGTTTCTTTCAGGCTGTCTCTCCCTCCCAAGGAAGCTTAGATACTGGAGCCCTTGGGAGTTAGAGCTGAGGCTAGGAGACAGTAGGTGGCTGTGGACTTGGGAAAAAGGGACACCTGTGCTTCAGGCCCAGGCAAGGGCTACATCTGATTGGAAGGCTCCACACAACTCTGTGCATGCCAGGCTGGGGTAGAGGAGCAGTATTCATGGGGAGTTTGACACATCTCCTAAGACAGTGTTACATGGTGTAATTGGATTGAGAGTGCCTTCTGTGGATTTTGGGGGAGACAAAGCTTGAGGTTTGGGATGAAAGACTTTTAATTACATGCAAATTCTGGAACTATTATTTGTGACTCAAGGAACCTAGTTATGTAATAGCAGTAACAACTACACTTTCTGTGGATCAATGTTGGGGCCAGCATTCCTCTTGGAGCAGACCCACATCCATTTTCTGAAGAAAATTCTGGCCTAGTCAGTCTTTGCTCTTATAGCCAAAGTCTGAACAGAGTTGGGACACCCATTCACTCAGCTATTGGGTTGGCCAAAAAGTCTGTTGAGTTTTTGCATAAAATAAATAACACATTTTTTGAATTTACCAGTAACTTTATTGATTTGGCTATTTTGAGTATGTTGTCTCTCTCCTACTATTGACTGCAAGTGGGTAGAGGCCAGGGATACAGCTAAACATCTTTCAATAAATAAGACAGCCCACAGCAAAGAATTATTTGGCCAAAATGTCAATACTACCAAAAAACTTCGCAAACCACTTTTGACACATTTAATCAATCACAGCACCTCCTGCATATGCTGTGCAAATCTCTTTTTGTGTTTCAGTTGTATTTTTATCTTTCTTGTAGTAATAAAGCATAATACACTAAAAGTGTTGTATATCTTCTTCCATCTTCAATGTTAAAATGGCTGCACAAAAATTCACCAATTTTGATAAGTTTTTTTAAAAAAATGCACACTAATATGATAGTGGTCACAATACAAGCTAACAAAATTGTTTCAAATGAAGTTAAAGACTACTAAGCACTATTAGAGCTATCACACAGAAAAAACTAAAGGGACTTTTAGGCCAACCCAATACAACAGGACACAAGACCAGTCATTGAAACCTGAGATACAGGTGTCAAGAATTCATATTTGGTTTTAAGAGTTAAGAGGTCAAATTTGAGAGCTGGGAGGAAGTAAGGTTTACCATCTGGAAGATGGTAAATAGAAAGGGTGAACTGAAACTAAATGCCAAAGACACAGCCATAAATGGGAACCTGGACGAAAGCCCTGGCAACTCAGGAACCCAGTACAGCCCAGAAAAGGCCTCTCAACCTTCAGGACAGAATATGAACATCACTTTATCTTTAATGCTTTTCTTACTCTCCTGAGAAGGTCATTCACTCTTCTGTGAAATCATATTGTTCAGATATGTCTCTCAGTGCTAAGATTCAATGGTATGGTAATTGTTTATACATTACTTTTTCAATTCTAGTCTGTGAACTTGGTGCCAGAAACTAGCTCACCACAAGGCACTTGAATGGTGTTGAACTAGCAAGGAGATCCTCAGAGTCTCTGTCTGTCTGTAGAGAGAACTAACACATAGTCTTGATACATTGGCTCACCCTGGGATACAGTTAAGGGTAAGTCACATTGCTCCAGTCAATTCAGTGCCTCGCCCTCACTGCTCTAAATCTTTGCATTGGTCAAAAGGTATAGAGATATATGGGCATACCTAGAGCCACAAGTTGTATCTATATATTTTTTAAAGATTCTATTTATTTATTTTTAGGGAGAGGGAAAGTAGGGGAGAAACAGAGGGAAAGAAACATCAATATGAGAGAGAAACATGGATCGTTTGCCTCTTGTATGTGCCCTGACTGGGATCTAACCCACAACCCAGGCATGTGCCCTGCCAGAAATCAACTGGTGACTTTTTTTCTATGGAATGGTGCCCCACCAACTGAGCCACACTGGTCAAGGCATCTATATATTTTTTGATGAGCAGTCTGATCAGTGTTTGGGATACAAAATGAAGATGATGAAATCCCTCCCTGCAAGGTCTAATGCTAAGCATCATGCCCACTGTTTCTTACACATGACCTGTGTGCCAATCATTGCTAAGTGTTTTCCATTTTTTATGTAATTTAACTGTAACAACAACCTTATAAAATTTGTTTTACCCATTTTACAAATATGAAGTATAGAGAAGTCAAATAACTTTCCCAATATCATGCAGCTAGTAAGTAGGTGGCTTGGATTAAAGTGTCTAGGCCCAGAGAAAAGGGAGGATCTTGGTACTATTTGTCCCTATGCGTGTGCCCCACTCTCTATTTCTGATGCTTACCACCATAAATGCCCTTAGATTCTGAGCAATATTGTCTCTTTCTTGAGAACAAAGGCAGGAAAGAGAGCTCTACTAAGCATTCCCTTCCATAATTCAGACAAAGACATTATGCATCTCAGAAATCTCACTTTCATATTCACAATTTACTCAGAGTGAGAAAGCAAAACTAAAAATAGGAATAAGGCAATGTAATGTAAAGTTATACAGGCTATTTTTAAGTAAATAGTATTTCACAAAAGGTGTATTTTGTTAAAATGATCAGTAGTTGTGGAAACAGAACAATAAGATCTTACAATCTTTCCTGTATGTTTGTATTCAGCTGTATGTCCATCTAGTTCAGCCATTTCCGAAGCAGCTGCGTGTGTGCATCGTGAATAGCAGTTCTCATCAGATGTGGTTCAATTGCACTGGAAAAGAATATCAACTCTAAACCATGTATTTCTTAGTTTTATTCTGTTTGTTCTTTTAAAAAAATACTGATGCATCCATAATGTTTCTTTCTGTCTGTGTCATATTTTAGTTTCTGCATCAGATTTATTTTTCACCTAGCCTTTCTTGTGGGCCTTCAGATGTTAGTTCTCTCTAGTCATACAACTCCTCTGCTCTAAAATAGATCGTATACTTCTTTAGTGGTTCTATTTTTCTACTACCTTTTAATTACAAGTTACATGTTAGGTAAGCTCTTCTTCAAAATTAGAAACTTGAATAAATGGAGACTTTAAAAGAGCTTACTAAATAGCCATTTAGATTCTAAAAATGTTCTTAATAAGCAGTGTTCAGGCTGAAATACTATCATATATGACTGTGTAGTAATAGTGTTACTCATCTTTTTGAAATAAATGTCAGGTAGACTGGGATAAAGATTAGCAAAGTGCAAATATTGAGCAAATTATTTTTGTAGTGGAAAAAATCTATACTGTTGAATTTTTCATGGAATAGTCATTGGTGCCTGATTTCATGGCGATTTTTTAAGGAGTTGTGGGATATCAGTCTTTAGGTTTTAGTGTTATTGTGACATTTCTGTTTGTTCTCTGTATTAAGTATGTGTGCTAAGGTTATTTTGATTTAAACTTTTCTATTTTTGAATTAAACTTTCATCTTGCTCTTTACATTTTGCCTTGGATACCCATGCATAGCAGAGGACAGAGATGAGTTGAGTGAATGAGAATAGGGGAATTTACTGAAAGTCTGAGCATCAGATGTGATGCATTCCTGCATCCTGGTTCCAGAATGCCAAAAGGACGTGGACAGCAGATATGGATATTTGGAACTCCATAATGAAAAATATATCTTATGTTGGGATCACTCTATAGTGAGACATCATTTGACAAACTTCACTTACCAAATACCTCTATTCTGTATTTTAGTGTGTTTTCCATAATTAAAAAGGATCAGTCAATGATTTAACTAAAGCCTCCAAAATGAAAGTGATCAAAATAAACAAATAAACAAACAAAAAGAAAGGAACTCAGAAGAAACAGACAAAGCAGAAAGAAAAGTGAAATGTTATAAAATCTATAATTACATATTTAGAGATATTTTGCATTCATGGAAGAAAAATGAGTTTTTTTAAAAGGGCATAATAACAGAACTAGTCAGAGACCTTATAAATGTTTTTAATAATGAAATAATTATTTAAATAAACGATCAAATATTAGGTAGAAAAGTTTCCTAAAAGTAGAACAAAAATAAAAAGATTGTACACAATAAGAGGGAAGAGATCATTAAAAGTAGGTTATCAATCCAGAAAATCCAATACCTAGCTAATGGGAGTTTCATAAACATGAGTGAGAGAAACAAAGAAAAACTTATAGGAAGGAAATATCAAGAAAATATACACTACTGAAAAGCAGGGTTCCCTAAATTGGAGTCAAAATAGACCTGCTGTAGTCAATGATAAAGAAAGATCCCAACCAGGTCAATGATGAGAGCTCATAATTGTCCTGAAGAGAGATGATGACTTAAAAAAAAAAGAGCGAGTAAAAGACAGAGAACTGTACTTGAACAACAATTAAAATTTTTTAAAAAATTCAAACCAAAGGATTGTTATGAAAAATTCAAAACACTGGAGATAAAGATTCTGAATATTTAAAGTGAAAAAAAAAACCAGATTCTATACACAAAGGACTGAGAATAAAAAGACATCAGAGGACTCCCAGTCAAGATGGTGGTACAGGCAGACATGGCTCGCCTCTTCCCACAACCACATCAAAATTACATCTAAAATATAGAACAACCATCACTCAGAACCATCATAAATCAAGCTGAATGCAAGTCTGACAACTAGGAATTAAAGAAACCACATGACTGTGTCAAACTAAAAAGCTTCTGCACAGCTAAAGAAACCATCCAGGAGATGAAATAGGAACCCACTGTATGGCAGAACATATTTGCCAATGATACAAGTGATAAAGGGTTAATTTCTGAAATATGTAAAGGACGTATACAGCTTAACACCAGGAAGACAAATGATCCAATTAAAAAATGGGCAAAGGGCCCGAGTAGACACTTCTCAGAAGAGAACATACAGATGGCTAATAGACATATGAGAAAAAGCTTAACGTTACTAATTATCAGAGAGATGCAAATTAAAACCACAATGGTATCTCACCTTACACCTGCCAGAATAGCTATCATCAATAAGTCAACAAACAACTGCTGGTAAGGATGTGGAGAAAGGGGAACCCTTGTGCACTGTTGGTGGGAATGCAGGCTGGTGCAGCCACTGTGGAAAACAGTATAGAATTTCCTCATATAATTAAAAATGGAACTGCTTTTTGGTCCAGCAATCCCACTTTTGGAAATAAATCCTAAGAATCCCAAAACACTAATCAGAAAGAATGCATGCACCTTTATATTCATAGCAGTGTTATTTGCAATAGCCAAGGTCTGCCCATCAGTAGATGAGTGGATAAAAAAGCTGTGGCACATTTACACAGTGGAATTCTACATGACTGTTAAAAAAGAATAAACTCTTATAGTTTGTGATAGCATGGATGGATCTGGAGAATATTATGCTAAATGAAAAAAAGCCAGTCAGAGAAAGACAGATACCATATGATGTCACTTGTATGTGGAATCTAATGAATAAAATATAGTTATGAGCAAAACGGAACAGAGGCATGGATGCATGGAACAGACTGACAGATCTCAGAGGGAGGGTTTGGTGGAACTGGAAGAGATTAGACAAAGAAAATATATGCATTTTATGCAAAGCCCGTGGACATTGACAACAATGTGTAAAATGAGGGCAGCCAGAGCTTGGTGAAAAGGGGAATGGGGGAGGGGATGCGGAGCATCTGTCATAGTGTCAAACAATCAGGAAATAATAAATAATAATAATAAAGGAAAAATGTGTACTTCTCCTTGAATTGGAATTCAGTGAACATATTCCTGATAGTATCTTTATGTAAAATGGCTTGCCATACTCTGAAAATGAAATTTTTGTTTTGCAAAGAAGTTAATGAATCAGTGAAATTACTGAAGTTCATAAACAGCAATAGCAGTATGAATTCTAAATGTAAAATATATATATCATACCCTGGCTGGGTGGGTCAGTTGGTTGGAGTACTGTCTCATACACCAAAATGTTGTGGGTTTGATTCCCAGTCAGGGCATATACCTAGGTTGTGGGTACAGTCCCTGGTCAGGGCATGTGTGAGGGGCAATTGGTTGATGTTTCTCTCTCCCTCTGTCTCTCCCTTCCTCTCTCTCTAAAATCAATAAGCAGATCCACAGGTGAGGATTAAATAAATAATAAAATAATAAATAAATATATTTATATGTATCTGGACTAATAACCATGTGTGCTTTATCCCAAGCATACCTTGATATAATTATTATGCCCATTCTGTAGATGTGGGAATTGAGATTTAAAGACAAACCTTGTGTGCCCACAGAGATAGTAAGCAATAGAAGAACCATTTTAAACCAAATAATTTGGCAATTTCTCTCATGGAACATAAAAGAAAGAATAGAGAAAACTCCTGCTGTAGCATTATATGAAATACTGGTAACCCTTGTTCTATGATATAATGCATCCCATTTATATTATTAGGGTTCAATTTACTTTCCAGAAGTAAACATTATTGCTTATGCTAATATAGTGTCTTATCCTTTATAAACACATTTAAATGAATTACTTTATTGGATCCCAAACCTCAGCAGGGTAGGAGGTCCTTATGTTTCAGACAGAGGAACTGAGACCGAGTGGGCCAATGACTCTTCCAGAAGTGCAGAAGTCCACAGCTGGGAAATTTAAAAGTTCTAGTCTCTTTCCATTATGACTCATAGCCTTCCAAAATATCACAAACAAAAAGTGGCTTTTTACTTTTTCTACTGGCACTTGTAACTAGAGAAGTTGAGCCATTGTAGGAGACAAGTAGCTGTAAACTAGGTAACATGAATTTAAAATATTTAATGAGATGTTAGTGCTAAATATAAATATACAAGACCACTTAATATTTAGCCCTTGCCTTTTCTTCCTGTTATCTGTATTCAGTCAGTATGACCATTTAAAGAATAAATATGGGAGAAAAGTATTATTTTAAATCAAGTGTACCATTTTTATAATGAAAGGTAAACTTGAAGTGGTGATTGTAGCATTTCTTTTTAATCATAGATCTGTTCAGTAACCCGATTGTTTTTTTATTATAAAACTCAAGATACCAATAAAATAGCATTAACCTTAGTAAAAAATAGATATTGTGCAATTTTATTTTCCAGGTTAAATCAATGTGTCTTTGACTGGATATATGAGAGATTATCAATTAAACATTTACAACCAAAAAAATGAAATTAATGGTAAATGCATAAACTTCTGAAAAGTATAAAGTAACTTAGATATTTAAAAATATATTGATGAGAACATAAATTCTATTTCAATATCTTAAGTCTTTGATATATATAAATTTCAAGGACTAAATCCATTAATAAAAAATAACTTGTCTTTTCCCATGAGATCTGTTGTAAGTTGCTGTTTCATTCAACCATCACTGTCCTGCACAGTAGGCACTGCAGGAGGAGTATGTTAATTATCTTGAGGTGTCCCAGTGGCCCAGTAACTCCAGGGCAAAATTCCAGCAGAGTCTTGGTTGCAATCCAGGTTGAAAACACTGTATTAACTTGTTCAGTCTCTTGACATCCTCACAAACACTAAAGCTGGAGAGAAAATATATTTGTTCAAGCTGAGTTAAGTATTCCAAAAGATTGGATTGGCCAAAAAGTTCATTTGGTAAGATGGCCCTAGTAGCACTTATTTGTCTTTAACTTCATTCAAAACAATTTTGTTAGATTGTATTGTGACAGCTGTCATATCAGCATGAATTTAAAAAAACATCAAAATTGGTGAATTTTTGTGTATTTGTGTGAATTTTGTGTCTTTAATATTGAAGGTGGAAGAAAACATGCAACATTTTTAGCATATTATGCCTTAGTGTTTCAAGAAAGGTAAAAATACAACTGAAATGCAAAAAAAATATTTCTACAGTGTATGGAGACGATGCTATGCCTGATCGAACATGTCAAAAGTGATTTGTGAAGTTTTGTGCTGATATTTCTCACTGGACAATGATGCTCCACAGTTGGGTGGACCAGTTCCGGTTGATGGTGATCAAATTGAGACATTAATTAAGAACAATCAGTGTTCTATCATGTGGGAAATAGCCGACATACTCAAAATATTCAAATCAATGAAGTTATTGGTGAAAATCAAAAATGTGTCTTTTATTTTATGGAAAAAAAAACACAGACTTTTTGGCCAACACAATAAATAATACCCAATGCCTAATAATGGATTATATTCTTCAAGGTTAATTATCTACAGAACAGGAATGCTTTTTAGATATTATTCAGAGTGTAATAAACCTGGGTTACCTAGAGCAATGGACCCCAACTTTTTTGGCACCAGAGACCATTTTCGTGGAAGACAATTTTTCCGCAGACCAGGGAGGGGGGATAGTTTTGGGATGATTCAAGCACATTACATTCAAGGTTGGAGACCCCTGATTTAGGCAACATAATCAGCATCTTTGAACACATGGCACTGCAGAGAGCTTTCAAGTTTCAGGCAAAAGTTGGGAAAAACTATTGCAACAGTGGATCAGTACCACCCAGTGCTGTCATTGGTCAAGACAGGTCACCAGTGCAAGACTTGAAGTTGTGTTGTGACTGATGATTGAACCGACTCCTCTTTTCTTAGAGTAGACTTTGGTGGTTCACAGAAGGAACATCGTGGAGACACCAGGTTCCTTGAAGAATGCACATTTCTACATGAGAAAGATGAAAAGAGTACAGTGAGATGCTTTGCAAAGAGTAGCCACATGGTGGAAGGGTAGTGTCAAGCACAAGAAAGTGAAACATATAAAATGATTCTTCTGCCAGGAGAGAACTTCCCTACCCTATCCCAGTCAATTGAGCCAATAGGATTTGAGCAGTTTCCACTCACTTCAAATAAATTTTTTAACAGAGCAAAGTAAATTGGTGAATAAAATTTATCATTTGATAGTGTAATGGCAATGAAACATCTATGCCTGTAAAGCAATAAATGTAATCATTTTATATAGTTATGAACAAAATCAGTGACCAATATAGACAGTGCTTCTTAACAATTGAAAGTCAACTGATTAAGGACGTCATGAAAACATTTAATTTCTTGAAATTGCTAATGGGGAAAGAGGTTCTAAAGTGAACTTCTTTAAAGTACAAACAATATGATCTTTTTAAAAAATAATGATCTTAAACTGCCTTAAGTCCTCTGAAACAAAGAAAATGTAGATGTTCTGAAAATCTTACTTTTATAGATGTTCTGAAGATCTTACTGAATTCATTTTGGAATGTAGCTGGAAAATTAGATAAGGATAGTTCCTTTAATTAAAACTATATATTATGTTTTTCACTGTTCACATTATTCGGTGGGGCTCATTTGAACATCTAACTATAGGGATTTGTATTTCCCAGGTATATTGAATAGTCGTACTTATCTTTAAAACTAAAGAA